CCCTAACTAGAGCCAGCGCCAGAGCCAGAGCCTGAGCCCAGCTCAGCTGCATTGCCCATGGCCCTCGGGGTATTCGTGGTGTCGTTCATGCATACTTTCATATTCATTCACTTGCACATTCATTGATAGCCAAGCCTCTGGGCTAGCAGACATGAGAGAGTCACACAGACACACACACACACACACACATATATAAACAACACACACACACACATGCACAGCGCTCGATGCATGTCTCAAATGAGCACAGCGTAAGGTGCGTATGCGTAATATATGAGTTAGACTTGAACAGGGAGATAGAGAGGGAGAGTGAGAGAGAGAGAGCGACAGAGAAAGAGGGAGACAGACAGAGCGACAGAGTCGACATGTTGCGCTGCTAGCATTAATAGACTAAAGTTTTTAATGTTGCTCATTTCAATTCGTGTAAAGTTTTTGTTCGCGAAATTTTATTAATTAGCGTTGGAAATGGAGCGTATGCGTAATATACTGAAAGCACTTACAGTTATATGGCAGCAATGTTAATTTGCAATACGGCTGCCACTTTAACTTTTTCTAATTGAAATACGTATGTAAAACTGAGCAGTATTACATTGTTATTGCCGGAAAGTGAAGTGAAGGTGCACGTCATTTACTGAAGACTCTGCCAACTCCATAAACTCATCAGGCTTTGACATATTTCAATTAAAAACACAAGTAAAGGGCAATTATAGAGCTCAAATTATCAAGGTGAATTGCCAAATTCTATGAATTGAAAGGGAGCTTAGCTTTTACTTTTATTGATTTCTTGGCTCTGCTTGGTAAGAGTAAATATTCTGTAATGAGCTTGTGCGCAGCGTACGGTGCGTATGCTTAATGTGTGGGAAAGAGCTAGAGATGGATGGCAGCCATAGGTTGACTTGATTGCAAAGATAATGGACTGCCTTACGAAATGTGAGTAAGGCTCAGCAGCCAATAAGTTGTGGTTAAGGGTAAATAATTAGCGCAGCGAACTGGGCGTATACGTAATTTATTGATATTTGAGTAGTTTTCTAAGGGAGAAATTGTTAAGGGAAAACATTAATGGAAAATGTTAAATGAAATATATTCAAGCATTTTTTTGTAATTTTGTAAACTGAAATGTAGTCAAATGTCAAATATTCATATTTTAGATTAAATAGATATTAATTATTGTATTATTATATTATTATTATATTAAATTAATAATCAGCTTCATTTGCTCTCATAAAAATGTAAATTCAGTAATCTTATGCTCATCCTGAGTAGAATGGAATGAATAGAATCTGCTGCCCTATATGAAACTCTATGTTGCTCTTTACATATTGTTGAATCGTAGCCAATGCCAGAGCTCTTATTATTTCGCTTACAATGGGAACACAATGGCTTTGCCAATAATACGAATCTAAGCCAATAATGGACTCTTGTGATATATTTGCTGATGCATATTTGCAAGCCATTTATTTGAATCTGGAAATCCTTCTGCTATATCATTAACTTCATTTTCAAGTCAGTTTTTGCCGTTGGTGTCGTTGCTGTCGTTGTCATATATCTTGTGCGTCCATTAGATTGCATAATCACTGTTTGCTGTTGCTCCCATTGCTGCTGCTCCTTCTCCTGCTGCTGGTTTTGTTGTTTTAGAATCGGTTTACAGTTGGCTGAGGCAAAAAAACATTGGCGTCGTTTTATTGCTCGCTAATCATCGGTTATATCGGAAGCTTCCATCTTGGCTAGCAAATGATTTATGGCCAGCATTGATACAATGCAGGCGGCAAGCTGGGTGTGGGTGTGACTGGTTAAGAGTTAGCTCTATTTCTCTCTCTCTCTCTGTCTCTCTGTCTCTGTCTCTCTCTATCTCTCTCTCTTGCTCTTAATATTCTATTTGTATTTTGTTATACCCTGAACCCATTGAAAATGGGAAATCAGGGTATAATGGTTTTGTTAAAAGTATATAACAGGCAGAAGAAGGGGTGGTAGACCCCACAAAGTATATATATTCTTGATCAGGGCGATGAGCTGAGTCGATTAAGCCCTGTTTGTCTGTCTGTCCGTATGTATGAACGCGTCGATCTCAGAAGATATAAGAGCTAGAGACTTGAAATTTTTTTCCTAGGTCCGTGTATATCACGCTCATATCGAGTTTTTCTCTAAATATCGATAGCTACTCCCGATATTTTATTATCGATTAAAATCTTTATCAAAAGCTAGCTATTTAATTAAATCTCTTTAGAGCTAGAGCTTCCAAATTTTTAATGTAGTGTTATATGTATTTTATATAATTTCGGTTTTTTTTTTGTAATTTATCCCCCACCCCTATATCCACCCCCTCACCCTCACCTTGGTTAAAGGCGCATTCCAAATACTAGAGACTTGTGCTTTAGCATATACACGCACGTTAATGTTATATTAACGACCTGAAAGTTTCATGAGCATAGTTCATCAACAAGAAAAGTTATTAAACTATTAAATTTACATAGTAATAAGCCCACACTGCTGCCAATACGTGTTTATGCTTGCATCCCTATGTTTTTCTGTGTGTGAGTGTGTGTGTTTCTTGGGTAAGCAGAAAGACTCGAAGAATTACTGTGAAATATCAATTCTTCGAAGGGTTCAGGGGATTTCGTATTCGAGCAGTCTCGACTAGAGCTTTCTTACTTGTTTTCTTTTTATTTTCTTGAAATTGTTGCAGATTTTGCAACTGGCACTTGGCTATTTGTCTTGAATTACTTTTCGATTTGCACTTTACACCAAGCACACACACACACACACAGTCACACTCACACCCACACCCACACCCACACTTAGATAGACATTCACAGATATACAAATGCACTTATTTATTTGGTTTTCAATTTCGGTTTTCGGCTTTTGCTTATGTGTATTGCTCGCCAAATGTTATTGGACAGGCGCACGCGCTGCCCTCGCCACCTGCCGCCACCCATCCACCCATCCACCCCCCCACTGCTCACCACTCCCTTCGCTCAGACAAATTGCGCGTAAAATAAAACTTCAATTGCAGCAATAACACGAGCAACAGCAACAGCAGCAACAACAACAACAACAACAGCGGCTGCTACTTCTGTAAACAGCAAGAAAAAAAAAAGAGAAAAAGACACAGAAAAAAGAAAAGCGTTTTAAAAACAATGAAAGTGGCAAATTCACAGCCAAAAACCGAGCGACTCCAAAAGCAACAACCACTCCACTAAGCCACCCAAACCACCCAGATCAGGCAGCCCAAAGCGCTTATAGCGAATTCGCAAATATAGCGAAAAACTTGTGCACGTGTGTGTGTGTGTGTGTGTGTATGTGTGTGTAGTGCATTTGAACAGTAACAGAACAGAAGTAACAACAGCAACAACAACCACAACAAAAACAACAACAACAATAGCATAGCAACATAAATGTTGTACGTGGCAAACCGAACAGCAATATTCGTTGCATTAAGCAAGCGCAACTACAGGAAAAGTCAAATTTTCCGCTTTTACCTGCAGTCGTCGATGGCGCTTTAAGGGTCAATCGCACCGCCGGGATAGAAAACGTGCAACGACATCGTAACAGCTAAAGCGCTACATGTGTGTGTGTGTGAGTGTGTGTGTGCGTATGTATATAAAGCGAACACTTCAGCAAAATGTTTCAAACTTATCAAATTACATTTTAATAATTATTTTTCATGTTTTCTTATTGTTCTATTTTGATACAAAATTTAATGAAAATTGATTTAATTTCAACAATTCAGATGTTGTAATGAATATAATTTATGATACTCATATTCCTATGTAGAATAATGTGACATAATTATTAATTTTAGAGGTGGCTCTTGTCATATTCAAGAAATAAATGAATGTCGATACATGAATTACTTGAGTATACAGTAGAATCCGGTTATAACGACTCTCAAGGGAGGCCCTATAACCGTAGAGGTTTGCTCATAAAAGCTTGTCTGGGGACATCGCTATAGCCGTACAGACGCTATAAGCGGAGTCGTTATAACCGGATTCTACTGTATTTTATGTATGGAGTAGTAAGGGCATTGAAACTCATTTAGAACGTATAGCGTATAGAGTACATGTGAGTTATTTGAGTATATTTCATACACAACAATTATATAGAGTATATTCGAGTTATACATAAATATTTAGTAAATTGAAACTAAAAATTCTTTTAGAGTAAACAAACGTATAGAGAATATGTGAGTTATTTGAGTATATTTTATACATATATAGAGTGTACGTGAATTAAAACTAACGGCTGTTCAGAGTAAACAAATATATGAGTATATTTGAGGTTTTTGAGTATATTTTATAAACAAAGACTTATTGAATGGAAACTACAGATTTTTTTTGGAGTAAACAAACATATTAGTATATTTGAGTACATTTCATACACAAAGATGGAAACTGAAGTTTTTTAGAGTATGTGTATATGTATATGTTTGTTATACAATATAAAGTAGCTCAGCATATTTGAATATATTTGATACATATGTGAATTGAAGACCCATCAAAAATAGAGAAACATATAGAGTTTTTCACTTTGTTGACATCTCCAAATCAAAGGCAAGTAGGGGTATGTTATAGTTGGGCCAACTAATATCCCCGGCCATCCTAGTTGACTTGCCTTCACGTAGGTATTGTCTTAAGAAAACATCTATTGAGCACTCTGAACTGTTTTGAAGGTTGTGAAGGGTTTATTTTCAGGAATATGGCAAATTAATGAAACTTAAGAATCACTAAGGCTCGAGAGCAAAACCCTAACTCCCTTAATTTTCATTGTGGCTTTGGGAAATAACATTTTTAGCTTAACAGTGCATCTCATCATGGCAGTACTAATAGCTACAGTCCTTATCACTTGCAAATCAACATAAAAAAACACGCACACACACATATAACCTTCATCTCAATATCATTATTTGGCCTGAGAGGCTTGCAGCTGAATGAATTAGCTTGAATTTGATTTTTAATTATAGGCCACTCTGGAGCTCTGCTAATTTCTCGAACTCTTTGCAGTGGGTGGCGCGTGTGGGCGTGACAGCTGTTAGGCAAAGTGCAATTGGAAGCGGCATTGAGAGCTGGAACTGCAATCGGTATCGGAATCGAGATATACAAGTGCCCAGGCACCGGCCTCACCGGCCCCATCGCCCTCGCTCCCCGAACTGCCCTGCCACTGGAGGGGCAGACGTAGCGGGGACCGCTAGCAGCGCAGCGACGCAGCGCAATGTCGACGCTGGCAGCTGCAACGTCGACGTCAACGGCGATGCCAGTGGATGCCATTGCCGCAGCGAAAATGTTTTCGGATGCGGATGTGGCGGAAGTGCGGCACGTTGTGCAACGCATTTTGGTGCCGTGCGTTTTTGTTATTGGACTATTGGGAAATTCAGTGAGCATTTATGTTTTGACGCGGTAAGTGCACTTGTTTGCGATGCTGATGCCAGCTACTGATGCTAGCTACTGCTATAGCTGCTACAACTGTTGCCACAATAGTTGTTGTTGTTGCTATTGCAAGGATTACGGCCGAGCGGCCAACAGCATTCAAATGCTGCCGCAATGTATATGTGTGTGTGTGGGTGTGTGAGAGTCTGTCCCTGTGTGACTCTGTGTATGTGTGTTTGTGTATTTTATGCATTTTATGTTTATGTTGCGTGCTGCATGGCCAACACAACTGAAAACAGGTATGCAGCACATTACAAAAGGCATTTAATTGTTGTTACCATCTAGCTGGCACTCTAAAATCATTTCATTTCCCAAAATGCCAACAGCAACAGCAACAACAACAACAACAACAATTTCACGTGCTAACGGCTCACAGATAAGCGTGCGCTCTGTGTTGTATTCACACTTGAATTGCCTCAAAATAGGCGAAATTGTTGGTCGCTGCAAGTGAGTGCGTCAACAAAAGCTGAATGCTTTGACACGCAGCGGAAATGCATACAACATGTAGCTGATCTAGCTGACTGTTACGGTACTATTGGTCAGGGCAGAGCGTTTGGCATAGCGAGCAGCTTTGTGTTGCGCGTCAGATTGATTACATATCTAACAGTAGACAATTGCTGATTGATACGTAACTCAGATTAGTTAGACTGCAGAGATTTATAGAGTATTTCAAATATGTGCATATATAGAAAGTAATTTTCCAATCAGAATCTAGTCAAACTCTTTTGGAGATATAAATAAGAGCTGAAGATAAATGTATAAAATTAAATATGAAGATACATATATTAATTGGTTAATATTTAATAATAATAGCTGAAGATAATTACTTCAGTGTGCTACAATTCTACAGAATGCAATACTTTGCAAGAAATCAATCTGGCAAATAAAATAAATGTCCGCAAAGAAATGTCATACATATATTCCTGCCAGTCTATAAATAACTACTACAACTAAAAGTTTCACTGATATATTATCAATTGCAGACTGGACAACTTGCTCGTTATTTGAGGACTCTCTTACGTCTCTTCAACATATTCTTTTAGCATCATTTGTTGGCCAAATCTTAGATTTTAGCTGCCAGTCATCTGTATTTCATATTCAATTCAATAGCAAAGACATTGCAAATTGCTCATTGCTATGACACTCACTTGTGAGCCCATGCCTTCTTCAGCTCTATAGGGCATTTCCGCGGCGACATTGCCTGTGAAACGCTAACTTTCTCGCCGCTCCCACAGCATCACAATTGCCAACAACTAAATATGAACAGTTACGTTTTATGACCTTGCCGACATTTGCGCCGTCATTTGCCAGATTTGAATCCAGTTGCCCGGCTGTCCTCTGCTCGTTGCTGGTTGCTGGACAATTTGGTTATTCAATTATTGCTGCATTTGGTTGCAGTTGCATCGCTCGGATCCTTCGCACTGTGGCTGTGCAGCCGATTTGCATACGCAAACAAACAATTTGCTTTAATACTTACTCTTATTTATTTAGCCGGGATCTAATTTTTTCCTTTTCCGCTTTCCTTTTTTTCTTTGCCATTTTCCATTTTCCATTTTCTATTTGCCATTTTCTATTTGCCATTTTCTATTTTCTATTTTATATTGCTCTCGTTTAGCAAACGCATGAGGTGCACCACAAATATTTATCTAACGGCTCTGGCAATTACGGATATTGCGTACCTGACCTTTGTATTAATTTTATCACTCAAACACTACGAATATATCAAATACCACTGCGAGCTGTATTGGCTCCTCTACGGATTCGTAGTGTGGCTATGCGATGCGTGCGGTAAGTGAAAATTATGAAATTCGATTATATGGGAGAATAGGGAGCTAGTTATGGAGAAGATAATTGAAGGAGAATAAATATTTATAGAGAAGATCCTGCTACCTTTTAGGTAACATAATCTTAGCCGAACAAAAGAAAATTATAGGGTGTAGTTATTACAGGTAAACTTCTAGGGAATATGTGAGACATTTTCAGCCAAGACCCGCTCTGTAGTAGTTCTGAGGTGGGACTGAGTCTATTTCTAGTTTTGGTGTGGCAGCTGGTAGATCATAATTCTATCTGCTATTCCAGTTAAACCCCAGTCTTGTGGATCTTGAGACAGGTCACGTTTGAGCCTTTTCCTAATTATAGCAGTATTGTCCACACGCATTGCTTGATTGAGTTTGGATGTGTGTCTAGGTTCTCGAGGTACTTCTTGGCCATCTTTTGGATTTTATAGCCAATTTTTGGCAGCTTGGGGTCTCGCTAGATGTTTCTGCATTCATTATGTTCCACTTCTCCTGAAGAACAAAAAGCTTATTTTGCAGGATAACATTGTAGAGGCCAGAATCTTAGATAAGTACTCCTAAGCTTCTCAGATTTTGGCTCAGAGTAACACCCTGGTACTTTATATATAAGACGATGAGTTCAGCCTCTTCCACTGAGAGTTCCAAAGATAATTTGCAATAATGTTCCACGTTCCACTTCTCAGCCCATTTCCGGAGCACTTTTAGGCATTGCCTAGCCTGGAACAGGCAGCTGCAACGGACCCAGCTCTCCCATGGAGTGCAGTCAGCTTAGATTTCACTTAATATGATCAAGTTGCATTTTATTTCTATCAAGTTGAATTTGCTGCTATTCAATTATATCAATATATAAATTATTGAAATGCATATAGACATTTCTGAAATCCCCTTAAGTTGACATAATTGAGTTGCTTTCACTAGCGGCATGAAACAAAGTGAGCTTAAATGAAAAATCCATAAAAGCTTCAAGTCCAGCGAAAATCCTTGAGCAGCCTTAAGTAGAGGACAAACAATTAGACGAAAATTGAGAAGTAAATTGGAAAGGAAAACGAAGCTGAGGCAGCTCAGAAATGCGCCCAGAATACGGAATTCAATATTTGAAGAAGTTTAAGCGCTCATTAATCAAGCAAATTGTTTAAGCAATATATATTGTATATATGTATGTATATATATATGTACATATATTAGAGACAGATATACAGTTAACTGTGGTAGTTAGTTGACCACTAACTGAGGTAATTTTAGCGCCTGCCACAGGCACAGGTGAGCCGCTCTACAAAAGGCACTTTGATGAGTAGTGGGCGGTAGGCGGTGGGCGGTGGGCGGTGGGCGGTAAGCGGGACATTATTAATAGCTCGACTGTGAGCGCGTTCGTGTTCAACAACTGTATACTGATATCGGCTTGCTTGAATTGTTCCCATTCCACACCCACACACTCAACCACTCAACCACTCACACACACACACACACACATACACACAGCATACATCTCAATTTACATAGCCGTGTGCTTTACTATCGAGCGATTTATAGCGATACGCTATCCGCTCAAAAGACAAACATTCTGCACGGAGTCGCTGGCCAAGAAGGTAATAGCAGGTGAGTGTGTGTGGGCAGCGCCTAGGCTAGGTATGGCCTGGCCTGGCCTGGCCTGGCCTGGGCGTTGCACGTTGTGTTGTTGCCACGGTCGCAGCACTGAGCCAGCCTTTGTATTGTTTTGACAGCCGTCGCGCTCTTCTGCCTGCTGACTACGCTCTCGACGGCGTTCGAGCACACATATGACATCAATTGGAAATTGATTGATGGCGCCTATAGGCCCTGCAATCTGACGCTGGCAAATGTGTCGCCCATGCCAACGCCCACGCCCACGTCCACGCCCATGCCCACACCGGCTCAGACCATGACCACGGCATGGCATATAGAGGAGCCAGCTGGCAATCCAGCCACGTCTCGCTATCTGGAGCCTTTCGATTTGAGCAGCGACAGCGGCAGCGGCAGCGGCAGCGGCGCCGGTGAGCCAGGTAAAGTAAAGTAACTTAAATGCTGGCTGCTCTTTAAATACTTTTTATTCGCATAATCAATTTCACTCTTCTCCTCCCTCCCTCTCTCTCTCTCTCTCTCTCTCTCTCTCTCTCTCTTTTGCTGTCTCTTTGGCAGACCACATTCCAAGCAGGCAGCGACGGTTACCAGCATTCACGTCCGCCTCTGTGGGCGTGACTGCGGCAGCCACTGAGCCGACAACAGCGTCGGCCACTGCGAGCTTGTTGCAGTTGTCACGTGCCAGACGCAGCGAGGACAACTACAACTATAACAACGATGCCAACAACAACAACAACAACAACAACAATGACAGCGGCAACGACAACAACAACAACAACAACAACAACAATAGCGCATTCGCATTTAACATTACGGAATACTGTCAAAATGTAAGAAAAGAATGTGAATGAGAATCGCACGTAAATTTAATGCCCTGACGGACTTACCGAGCCACTGTATTGGACAAGCGAGAATTGCGCAGGGAATAATCAGAAATTCGAGGGAAAAAACTGAAATGTCATGTATACCATTATTTTAACCCATATACATACAGCGCTTAATTTAAAAAAAATATGAATTTTACTATTACATAAACCCTAAAGTCTACTAAAAAATTGATATACACACACATATAAAATATATATATGTATCTGGGTAATTGCTTTAATTTAGATGCATTATAATCTGTTTGTGTTGAGCCTATTGATATCTAAATCTAGATATGTATACTATATATACCATATATAAAGATCAGCTTGAATCACTATATTATATAACACTCATACAATAGATTGCTCTCTAAGAAACTAACTTTATTGCGTAATATAATATATAAGTACATATTTAGCTCTCAGTAGAAAAGATATAAGTTATTTTTAAACTAGAGCAAAGATTTTCTTTATTCAAATGTCTCCAATCTGTATGCTGTAGAAAATTCAGTTTTTATTATGTAAATTCTTCAACATATCATAACCAAATTATGAATTATAGGATATCCATCTATAAAATGAGTTTGGTTATGAAAGGCTGTTCGATTTATGAAAGATCTGCAGAGCTGCATTAAAAATGTAGAGTACGCGCAATTGTCTTACAAGTCAGCCTCTCTTGAATAATTCCCCTCTTCCAGTCATCTGTATGTCCAGAGCATTTGACTGTGCCTAGTTGCTCTCTGATTCAAACGACTAACGAAATGAAAAGAGTATATTGGTTTTGTGTAGTGTATTTCCTTTTCATCGCAATGTTGTTCATCCGCCTGTCTTTTCTCTTGATATTACTTGAATTGATTACGCTGGGTCTACTAGAAGTGTAGTAAGCTGGGAATTACTATATATAATAGAGAAACTCTATTGAGGAGTTAAAAGCTTTAAATTAGTTTTTTTTTTTACATATATTTGTAAGCAATATAACATCAAAAATATATATAGAGCTGCAGACGTGGTTTGAGACGGCATACTCCAGAAATGTACTCTTAGGATCCTCTATATATCGACCAAAAACAATGTATTCGCGCCTACTGAGGACTTTGTAATTTATATTAGCTATAGAGAGTTTTATTCAAGTCTCTTCATTCCAGAGTTTTTGAGTTAAAATCATTCAAACCGAGGGGGTTTAGTTTCTAGCTTTAAATATGGACTTTTCGAGATCAGAAAATCTATGTCAATGATATGTATAAGTAGTTGTTAGTTTCGAGCGGGTATTTGACAATAATATTGACAATACCAATAAGAGCCCTCTTTTGTGATTCAAGTTTGTTATTTGAAATGAAAAATATGGAACATCTTCTAATTAATTGGCATTTTGATAAACCTCTTTCGTTTGCAGATGACTTTCTACACCAATGGGCTGTCGAGTCTGGGCCAGAATGCGCTCTACTTCAATATCTGGAGCGTTTACACGCTGATTGTGTTCGTGCTGCTGCCGCTGTTCGTGCTGGCCACATTTAACTGTTTCCTCATTCTGCTTGTGCATCGCTCGAAGAGTCTGCGCGGCGATCTGACCAATGCCAGCAGCATTAGGCGTACCAAGGTAACTGAGCAGCCACGCCCACTCGCCAACTATGAGCGCCCATAATTGTTGAACTAATTGACTGATTGCAGCGCAAATCGAACTCGGGCCTAACGGGCAGCGTCTCGCAGGAGAATCGAGTGACCATCACGCTGATTGCCGTCGTCCTGCTGTTCATCGTCTGCCAGCTGCCGTGGGCCATCTACCTGATACTGGTGCAGTACGTGGACATCGAGATGAACATACAAAGGATAGCGGGCAATGTGTGCAACCTGCTGGTGGCCATCAATGCGGCTGCCAATTTTTTCTTATATTGCGTGCTGTCGGACAAGTATCGCAAGACGGTGCGTGAGCTGGTCACCGGCTATCGCTATCGCCATCGACATGCACGCAACAACATCAGCCTCTATGTGCCACACACCAGCACCACGCTCAACGGTGACGGTGCCAGCAGCGTGGGCAGCGGCGGTGGCTACAATGCCTACGGTGGTGCCAGCAGTCGGCGTTGCCGTGGCAAGGCGGCGGTTGCAAGGCGCCTGATTGCGTGAGTCACCAGCCGATAGTTTCCTCCGATCAACGTTTTTGTTTTCTCTCTATAGATATATATATTTTTGTTTTCCTATACTCTAGATATACATTTAGTATGTCTATTTTTCTTTGTTCTTTCTTCTATATATAAATATCTTAGATATATAGTACGTACATATACATACATATATCATATATGTTTTTTTTTTATCAGTCAAATTCGCAAGCTGTACAATCCTAAACTACTCTGTAATAGGCTAAGTTGAGCAATATATGCGTAAATATTTTAACTTCATGTATATAAATATATAGATTACACATATATTTATCTATATATGTACATGCATATACTACCAAACATTTGTGCCATATATGTGATGATTATAGTTATACGATCTGTAGCTATCCTAAACGTAATTATTGTTGTCCTAAGTGTCAGAAATGTAGTCTAAATAAATCATTTTTTGAACTACTTCGTAGTCGATTCATTCGGTGGTAAGAAATGTAACGCTGTAGGTAAGAGTGTTTTTATGGTGGGTGCCTGGTCAAGAGATAGCTGGAATCTAGCGCAAAGCACTTGGATTGAAGTGCTGACTAACTTTTGTTCTAGATGGATTATTGTATTACGAATTGGTTATCGTATTACTAATAAGTTTGCCAAATGGAAGATATATTCAAAATATTAATTATGCAAAAGCTGGGTCGAAGATCAATGAGAGATTGGCAGTAAATTGGAAATCTTTGCTATTTGTCTTATTTAATAAACGATAAAAGTATCAAGTAAACGGATCGATTATTATCGATAATTATTCATTTAATAATTATTATGACAAAAGGTAAAGTAAAATTTGAGCAGTTTGCTTAAATTCTCTACAAGAGATCGATAATCAAATAAGTTTATCGATTGTTATCGATAATAAGGAAATGTAGAGAAGTACAATATTTCAGTTGCTGTCGTTGTTTTTCGATGTGAGAAGTATTCGATATAACTACAGCTCTGCAGCTCTTCAGCCTGATCGAGAATACATAAACACTTTATAGGATCGGCCACGCGGTCACACGGTCAGTCCATACATTTTTACAATAATCTCAATTCATATTATATGGGCTCAATGGGTTTATGGCATATAAAAATGAGTTTATCTATCAATTCCTACTTCATCTCTTGACAGTTTTCAATTTCCATTTGCGGCTCTTATCTATAACTGCTTTCAATTGGATAACTGGCCATTTGGCAATAACAGAGCACGAATTGTTGTCGAAGAACTGACTCGAGTTTGGTTGAGCGTTGTCAACGAAGGAGAGCGAGAAATGTGACCGCTCGACAGGAAATTGTCTATCGATTAACATCTGCAGCCAGAACAAGCGTTGAGGAATAACGCAGCTCTGTCATATTTCGCTGGCACTTGATTGAAGCAAACGTCAAAACTTGAACGGCAATAGGAACTGGAAAAGGCCGTTGACAGCTGTCTGAAAAGGGAGGGGGTACAGAGGTAGGTAGGTAGGTAGGTAGGTAGCAGAGCTTGAGAATATTGAAAATAGACAGCAGTCAATGCTGGGCTGCTGCTGCCACAATGGGAAACTGTGAAAGTTGAAAAAGTCAGGGCGAGCCGAGTGGCCTCAGGTAAAGCCAGGAAATTGCATTATTTCAAGTTCAACTGTAAAGGTAAATACCAATTGATAGTGTGGCACGCATTGAGGCCACAAAGCCGATACGCTTCGCACACACTGTAACTAAATGCAGTTAAGCCTTTTTTGGGAATGCGCTTAAACCTATGTACAATGGGAATTGGGCTAAAACACGTTGCAATACGAAAATCGGGGCACAACTTGTGCAGACAAAACTTATGCACAGCGGGTAGTCGAGCCAGACCGCGTTACCTCTATATATGTAGGTATATATATACAGCACGAGTCATCAGCATAGCGCAACTTTCACTTTGCCAGCTAGTGCTTACATATATTTTCCTAGATTGTTCGAGCTATAGTCCTACAAGTCCTGAGCTCTTATACCTTCTGAGCTCGACAAACAGACAGACGGATACGACTAAATCGACTCAGCTTGTTGCCCTGATCAAGAATATATATGTACTATGGATTTTGCCACGCCTCCTTCATTTAACAGACCGATCTTCCATTTTTAATGGGTTCAGGGTGTAAAAAGAATCGCTCGAATAATATAGAAAATAATAATTGGTGCGTTAATGTGGAGTATGAGCTATCCCGATTACGCGCAGTGTATTTTACTGTGCATGTATGCAGAAATATATATATACATATGCATACATATAGTAAATATACCAGTCAAAAGGCAACACACACGCACACACACGTACATCGACTAACTGTAACAAACGTAATGGAGTAACAAACATTTGTGGTTTACTGCATTTGTTCCTGTGCGTGTTTAAGTGTGTGTGCGTGTGGGACACACACAAAAGCACTCTGTAAATACACTTGCAGTGATGAGCCAAAAAAAAAGAATATAAAGCCAACTACAACAATTGCTATCAGCAACTGTGTGTGTGTGTGTGTGTGTGTTTGTGCATTGAGAGTGTCAGTTGCCTAGAACGGCTTTTCCCTCAATTTCCCCGGCAAGCTTTCACCGCACACACACACTCATACAGTGCACCCTTTTTCTCTGTTCGTGTTCATGAAAAATTACAAGTCAGCGTCACAATTGAAATATTTCCGCCTCAACGAACAGAAATGCGCAATCGAAAATAGTTATCTTGCCATTGGAATTTGCCAGAAATATGCAGCTGGCGGGGCGACTGGTCGGTCGCATGCGGATATGCCAGCGACAGACAGACAGACAGACGGCAGAGACAGACAGCCAGCGCTGTGGACAGACGACATGTGCCGGCATATGTGGATTATATCTCTCTCTGAATGTGTGGGTGTGTGTGTGTGTGTGTGTGTGTATGTGTGTGTTTCTCCCTGACTCTGTTTTTGTGTGAGGCATCGCCTACCCACTTTCAAGCTGCTTTGGTTGGTCCGAAATTTCCATATTTGATTGTTTTTGAGCGCCTGCAACAACAACAAGTACAACAACAACAACAAAAACAACCACAATAACAAATGGTTCGGCTACGACGCGTCGTCTGTTTATTGAAAATGGTTTCGACTGGCCAGCCGCTTGGCGAATGCAATGTGGCATACTTCTGGACGCATGCCACAATCATTAAAATGTCCAGCTAATGTGACTTTTTGATGCGCTGCCAATAGAGCGCAGACTTTAAGAATGTTGCAAAAGAAACAAACAACTCTCTTGGGTATCAACGAAATGCTTGAAGCTTGAAGGTATGAGCACAAGAATTTATTCTAAATTTAGAAGAGCAGATGATAAATGCTTTAAATGCAAACGCATTCAGTCGAGTCTCGATAATTCGTACCCCGTTAAATCAAAAATCGCGATAAATCGAAACAAAATTCTATCCCCTTGAAAGAAATTCATTCTCAATAATTCTCGATAATTTGAATTTCTATGTAAACCCAAAAATAACTGATCCCTTTGCCATTTCGACTTATCGGGATTTTAATGTATATATATGCATAGAGAATATATGTAGGTTTCAAACTGTTATATATATCACATATGTATTAAGCTCTTGCGTTCCTTCTCCTTCTTGTTATAGAGCTGCTCGTTATCCTTCTCAATCGGCTCAACGCACACGTCGCAAAAGCATGGAAAGCATTCTTACACACATACTCCCACATTCACATATATGTACTTATACGCACCCTCACATATACTTATACACTCAGTCAGAGATACGAAGTACGCATGACAAAGCGGCTTAAGTCATATAAAAGTACTGTTAGTACTTAAGTGGGCCGATTAATAAATACCTCGTAAATGAACTCTATCTGCCCTATTGAGCAGCCAAGATTTTCAAAGTAGTTTTAAGCCAATTCACAATCATTTAATGCACTATGTGTTGACATTATCCATTGTTCGTATTGGCGTTGAAGAAGATTTGCATGAATGATTTACAGCTACATTACTCCCTTTCACATACCTTTTCCCAATTCTATCATTCCACATGTAACCCATGCAATGGGTATTCAGACTAGGAACAAAGTATCAACAGAAGTCTTCCAGAAGTTGTCAAAAAGTTGCTTCAATAATAACTTTTGCATATGAAATGCTCTCGCTGAAAAGAGTCAGCGATGTGGCAACTCTGAATGTAAAGCGTAAGTTATTATGTTAAGTAATAGTCGCATTGAAATAGAAACGGTAAAAGAAATTAGTTTGCATCCTCAGTTGAAAATGTATTAATAAAATTTTCTGAAATAGTGTAGAAGCTGAATTTTGATAAAATAGGCACTTGAGATAAATTTTTATAATAATATTATATGTACATATCATTTATACATTGAATGCACAGCTCCACAGGTTTTTCCATAGATGAAAAATAATATAGCGTAAGGTATACTCAGGCGATGTAGCATAAATGTAAGGTATGCAAGGGTATAATTGATTTGTTGAAATATATGTAACAGGCAGAAGGCGTGGCGTGGGTATGTGTGTGTAATTCTTGTGTTAGCAGAAAGACGCACTTGTTATAAATAGAACCTATTGAAAATTGAAAAGCAGGGTATATTGTTTATGTGAAAATGTATATAGCAGGCAGTAAGGATATATACACACAATCTTGATCAGAATAACGAGGTGAGTAAATTTAGCTATGTCCATCCGTCTGTCTGTAAAAACTACTATAATACAGTATATATATTAAATACTAAAGCGAACATACTGTATTAGATATATGCGTACAAATTCCTTTCACTATCATCAAAGTAGGCTACACAAACTTGAAACATTCACTACTTAGAACGGACTTGTAATTCCCAAGTTGTTATAGCTTTCACAGAGTGTCAAGGCATCGAGAACGAAGCAGTTGTCGGAGTTGAAGTTGCTCACAGAGCGACTTCTTCTTAATGAATTTTGAACAAATAATAAATACATCCACATTTCCAGTAGGGCATAGATTTTTGGTTATTTCATCTTTAGTCGGAGTTCTGGTAAGTAAACCGATAAAGGTGAAATAACCATTAAAATCAATACATAAGAAACTAGTGAGAGTGCTCTAGGCGAGACTGTTCGACTAGCAGATACTCTGCAGCGTGCAGTGGAGCTGCTGTGCCACTCATTCTCAGGCTGTTTAATGGCGTTGATTTTCTGGTTATTTCATCTTTAGTCGGAGTCTTGGTAAGTAAACCGATAAAGGTGAAATAACCACTAAAATCAATAAATAAACTAGTGAGAGAGAGTGCTCTAGTAGAGACTGCTCGACTAGCAGATACTATGACTGCTACAAAGAGCAGCTGACTGACATAGTGCACTCATGGCTAGTGCTCACTGTAGTCTGTATATATATGTCGTATCAGTGCGATATTACACTGTTGTTGAAGTTACTGTGGGATTTCTTGATGCAATAGTGTTGAGAAACACCCGCAGTTCGTATT